ATGCACTTTTGAATTCTTCGCAAAAATCACATCGGTCTTTTTTCGGCTTAAAAAAACCAATATTAAATTTAGTGTTAAATATGTCGCAATAGTGATGTTTCGTAGCAATCGGTTTGTTCTCCTCTTTCATCAAGTCGGTGTATAAATTGTACATTTTACCCAAACTTAAAGTTTCTTCCAAGTATTCGCGTCTTGTGTTTTTTCTCACATAATGAGACTCTACTCTCGGAAACGAATTTATATGTTCAATAACACTCGCAGTTATATTTTCTCCAATAGCACGAGGTCTTGATTTCGATGTACCTCTTTTATCGATTAAAGTTGAATCATTATTCCTGAGTTTCATAAGAGCGGTACTAACAATTTGTTTACTAATGTTTAGAGTATTCAAAAACATTGCCTGACAAACTTTAATTTTATTACTCCTATCGTTGATAGTATAAGTTTTACGGTAAACTCTTTGATTGTTGTCTAGTTTTTCTTGGTCACAACTCTCTGAGACATGACTCAAAATAAAATCGTATTTTCTAGCCTGCTCTTGAATACTCCAATAATCATCAAAAAAAAGATTTTCTGGATGATTCTACTGAAAACCTTCAATTGGATAATACGGTTAAAGAATCTTTAAATAAAATAGGTCCTCCTTGGGTTCAAACAGATCCTTATTGGCTGCCTCCGGCTCAAGAAAGTGCCTTTTTTGATACTCCTTTTGACTTTATTGAGTTCAATGCTTCTCTTGATAGTAAAAAGATTAAATCTTCGCCTGGTCTGGATGGCGTTGATTTCGACATCTTAAAAAAATTACCAATAAAATACAAGTTAATTCTTTTAGATATTTTTAATTTACTTTATCAAACTGAAGAGTATCCTTTAAGCTGGAGGGAATGCTTTATTCATTTTGTCAAAAAACCTGAGAATATTGGTCTTCGACCTATAACTCTTACTTCCTGCTTATTAAAGCTATTTGAAACTTTAATTAAAAATAGATTGCAGTGGTGGGCTGAGGTTCAGAACTTTATTCCTAAATCACAAAACGGTTTTCGAAAGGGTAGATCTTGTATAGATAACTTGGCAAATTTAACATTAAAGATTGATGAAGCATTTATTGAAAAAAAACATGTTTTGGCTGCATTTCTAGATGTGCAAGGTGCCTTTGATAATGTTAATATTGATATCCTATTGTCTAAGTTGGTTTCTATTGGATGTTCATTAAAATTGATTACTTTTGTCAAGTTCATTTCACATGAAAGAGATATATATACGGCATATACTCAGGATGCAATAAGAAAGGTTTTTAAGGGGGTTCCTCAGGGTGGAGTTCTCAGTCCATTATTGTATTTGATTTATGTCTCTAGTATTGCTGAGGATTGCATAAAAATGTTGTAGTATCTCAATTTGCAGACGATATAGCGTTGTATGTCAAATCTAAAACTGTTAAGAGAGGTGTAAATATGCTGTCAAAGGCTATAGATAAAATTGATAAAAATCTTTCTTCTCTTGGGCTTGAACTTTCTCCGGCTAAGACACAGTTTGTTCACTTTAATAATATGAAAATTCTTCCGGGTAATGTACAAATTAAAGTTAAAGATCATGTGATTAAATCAAGTACTACGGTTCGTTTTTTGGGTATCATACTGGATTATAAAATGTCTTTTTTGCCCCACATTGATAATGTTATTAAGAAATGTTCTAAAGCCTTGAATATTATAAAATATCTTTGTGGTACTTGGTGGGGTTCAAGTCCGGAAACTCTTGTGACCTTATACAAGAGTTACGTGCGTTCTATTGTCGACTATGGCTCATGTTTGTATTTTCCTAACACTAAAAAAGTAAGAAGGAAGATTGAATCAATACAAAATAGTGCAATTAGAATAGCTTTTGGCTACCGTAGAAGTACTCCTTTGAATGTCATGTTGGCTGAATCCAAACTTATGTTGTTGAAAGACCGTTCTGTTTACTTGTGTGACTGCTACATGGCTAAAATTTTATCAAATAGTAATTCTAATATTTTTAACTCAATAAATACTTATTTTAACCTATGTAAACGTAAAGTTCAAAAACGTAAGATCTTATTGTGTCATAATATAATTTTTAAACTGAATACTTTAAAGACAGTTGATGTCCGCTGCAATTATAATATGTATTGTTCAGATTATGAAGTTTTAAAAACAATAATTCCAGTTAACACCAGTCTCGGTAATGATCTTACTAGTTTTTCTGACACAAACAACATATTGAATGATTTTATACAAAAGGATAATGCGATATCTATTTATACGGATAGGAGTAAGGTCTCATCGCATGTGTATGTCGGCTCTGCCTGTGTTTGTCCGGATTTGAATAAATGTGTTACAAAGAGTATGCCATGTGAGACTTCTGTTTTTACGGCCGAATGTATGGCTTTGAGCGATGCAATGGACATTGCCTTGGAGAATCGAAGTCATAGCTTTCTCATTTTTTCGGACTCTTTAAGTGCTTTACAAAGTTTACAATCCAGTTTTGCTACTATTAAAACTAATCCGTACATCTTTGAAATAAAAAAAAAATATGTCGAATTTATTAATAATTCTGATAATAGTTTTATAAAATTTTTTTGGGTTCCTTCACATATTGGAGTCCTGGGAAATGAGGAAGCTGACTTTCGGGCTAAATCGGCTACTGAAAAAGATTGTTTAGATGTAGTAAAGATTCCTTATACTGACTTGTATGAGTTTTTTAGAAAAAGGTCATCCTCTCAGTCTTTAGATATCATATTACAACAGGGCCTTTTTAAGGGCAAATATTATTTTCAAAATTATTACTCTAGCGCTAAGAAGCTATGGTTTGGTCATAAATCTTTAACTAGAAGACAGATAGTCACAATTAATCGTTGTAGAGCCAATCATTATAATTTGGCTGAATCTTTGGCTCGAATAAATATTGTTAATAGTAGTTTGTGTAAGTGTGGTCAATATAACGAAAGCTTAAATCATGTTGTTTGGCAGTGCCAACTATATGTACCTCAACGTACTGTTTTATATAAGAAATTGTTTAATATGAAAATCTATTTGCCGCTGTGCATGGAAATGTTCTTAGCAAAACCAAATATTGCTGTGTGCAAGCTCATTGTTAAATTTTTGGATGATTGTAATTTAAAGATATAAACTTTATATATGCTTATAAACCTATTTAGGTTTTTTTTAATGCTTAAAAAGTATTTTCTAGCCTGCTCTTGAATACTCCAATAATCATCAAAAAAAGATTTTCTGGATGATTCAGAAATCTTTTTCTCGCATTGAAATTTGCAGCCTGGACCACATGTCCTTTGCATCGAGCGAGCCTCAACTGTCTTTTTTGAATAAAATGATACATACTCCTGTCCCATATTAACTGCCTTTTTTAAAAGATTTCGTTTCCAGTTTTGAGGATTAGATAACCTTTTTTTGGTCAGTGATTTTTCTGAATCATCGTTTTCTTTTTCGTTCTTGATCTGCAGGTATCGATTCAATAAAACTATTGCTTTCCGAATTATTTCCTTCTACTTCGTTTTCGTCAGAAAAATGAGGAAATATTATTTCTTCATCAGAAGATAAAAAAACTTCTTCATGAACCGCAAAATAATCGTTATCCAAATTCTGTTCCGTAAAGAAATCGTCAAATGAAAATTCATGATTTGTGTGATCCAAGTTTTCATGCACTCTATTGGACTCTGTCACCATGGTGCCTGAATCCACATCGGAAAGTTGAGACATCTCCTTCAAAAAATCTGCATTGAACAATGTTGAAAGTAAATATTTATACATTTTCTTTGAATTTATATAATTAATTTACGTTTTGAAATATAATGATTTAAGTTGTACAATTTTTTGACTTTATTTATTGTTTAGATAGACTGTCTATCGTACAGACGTCTATTCCTCTCTTCAAATGAATTACTTGAAGAAAATTTTCTTTTTTATTGTTTCTGAAGAGGGCAGCGGTGCTGCTGAAACGTAAAAAGAAATAGTTTTGTTTTCTTTTGTTCGCCTTGACTCGGAGTGATCGTTATCTTCATGTTTTTTATTTATTTTATAACATATTGCCACTTTTGAAAAAAAACAAAAGTTTCTAGAGTGGTTCCTTTCTCAGGTCGTAATTTATTTACTTTTTAAAATTATAAATATAACGAAATAAATTATGTTTTTAATTATTATCATACCAGTTGATGTAGATTCCCTGGATTCCATTTTGAGTCAAATTATTTTTCTATTTATTAATTGCATTAAAATTTACTCAGCGAATCTACAGAAAAATATTAATTGTAAATATATACCATTTTTCATATTTTATAATAAATAGTTCAGTTACTAAACTAATTTTTGTAATTTTTTAACTAACTGAATTAAATTAAAAAATATAATCCTTATCAAAATTTTTTAGACAATTACGTACACTTTGCTACACTTTATTTTTAACAAAAATTGCATGTTAATTTGCAAAATTAATTTACAAATTTTTTATAAAAAGTATTATGTTAGGTTATCAAAGCATAATTTATAATAAATTAAAATTGTAACCAAAATTTTTTTGTAGAATACATTGTAACGATTTTTCATGAGAAGAATTTAAATATTATTTTAGAAAATTAGACAGGCAAAGATTTATTATTAACTTTATAAATTCGCGAATTATATTAATGTAAAGCAAATGAAATAGAAATAAAACACTGAATTACTCCGTAATTAGACACATATATTGACCAAGTAAATTTCGATTGAACAGATATTTCGTATATATATAAAATGATCGCACTTAAATCAATTACGGAACGAAACGCGACTCGCACTCCTGCACACTTCGTAATAAAAACAATAACGAGACGCGTCAACAAAAGTCGAATAATAAATACATGTTAGGCGAAATAAATAATATGACAAACAAATGAATATATACTGCGTAGGCAAAACAAATAATTTAAATAAGACCGTCGAACCCGAAATGCAAATATGAATGGATCAAGATGAGTTCGACGGATGGTCAAATTGAGAAGATGAGTAAAAAGGAAAATGATAAAATAAACAAATAAAATAAAACTTATCCAGTTGGCGATTGTGAGTCTGGCGATGGAAAAGGGTAGCGTCGGTGTGGAATTCGGTCCGAGGAGGTCCGGATACTGCTGACGGTGCACTCGTCAATAATTTGGTCTCTTTATGCTTTCAGCAAAATCGTAATTATCTCCGGGGCAGGTTCCTCTCTCGTCAAATTGGGCCCAATATTCGAGGGAATGCTTCCTCGTGAGATTTCCCCTAAATCCAAAATTCCGCACGCCTTGTCCCCAAATACCACTCGTATAATGCGCCACACTATTTTTATAAAAACAATAATTTAATCTCCAAATAAAACGATACATACCAAAAACTTTACTCTTCCTTTTTTACAAAACACGATTTTAATGAAGTGAAATTTAACAAAGAATTTAATTGAATAGTTAATACCTTCGTGCTGTCGGCGACACGCGAAAATGTGGCTTTTCAAAATTGATTGCAATTTTCCACCGGACTGGAATAAGTGAGGACAAGACGTGCTCGTGGTTCCCTTTTATTAATTGACCCACGCGACCTCCCCCCCAGGGAAATCTTCCCCACCGTCCAGGAGTATTCCCGCCTAATCGTGCCTCTTGGCGCTCTTTCGCCGAAATTCATCGAATTTCCACGAAAGAGTCCACGTCAGTGGTACCGACCCCCCCAGACTGCACAATTGCTCAAAGCGCGAATATTCAAAAACATTTTGATCCTTTCAACATTAATATTGAAATACGTACCAATTCAATTAAAATACAGAAAAGTATATGGAAAAATCGCATAATTCTTTACAATAATTCGTAGTTTCGGGATATTTAAAGATAAAATGAGAAAAGATTCCGAAATATTCTTTCATGCATCTGTGATCAAATGGACAATTATACAAGAAAACTATTTGTGGTTAAAATGACAAATGACAGGCAAAATATGTTTTTTAAAAAAAAACACTTAAATTTTCAACTTTCATTTATACTTTTTGTATTTAATTCAGAAAAAGTCTAAAATAATTTTTATTTTAAAAAATAATTTATCATGTTATTTAATAAGTCAAATTAATTTACATAAAAAATGACAGTAATGAAAACAATAATGTGATGTTTGTAAAAAATAATTTTATTTTCAACATTTTCAATGTAGATTTGTCGGAAGGTGATCAAATTTTTTTATATGGATTCCTGAACCACCGTGACCCTACAAGGAACAAAAATTAAATGAATATAATAACAAGTTAAGCAATGAGTATTTTACATACATTTTGTTTGAGTATTTTTACTTAATTCTGAAAATCTCACTAAAATTAACCTTTCTTTCATACATAAAATATTGAGAAATATTTACCTCCCATGTTCACCAGTAACCTCTTCTTAGAAACCACATTAAATAAGAATACTTTTTTAGAAAATTTTAATTAAGAATTATCTTGCACTTAAATTTGAAGAAGCATCATATTATTCGCTACCTTCAGTAGGAATTGTTTTGCACGCGATTTTGAATAGGCATTGTCTTGCACTGTAATTTTGATAGGAATGATATTGCACCCAATTCTAAATAAGCATCGTCTTGTTTTGTTATTTCAATAAGCATTATATGAACGGAAGGTGTCGGTTTGACATAAATAAAAACAATCAATAAGTCTATGACGACCCATTGAAAAAAATTCTCGAATTCTGTCCTGCTTATCACATGCGACATCATCAAAAACAATTGTAGAATTTGGTTGAGCTTCATTCGGTTGTATAACCTTTTCATAATTTTGAAATGAAAAATACTCAATATTCTCAACTAATTGAAGAGTTTTTTCTAAAAATTTATATTTTGGTTGACTCAAGGATTTGAAGTAGATGTAGACATTTTAAAAACGTAATCCATTTGGATGTAATAGTAAAGCGAGTAAGGCATTTGTTTTTCCACAATTGGATGGGCCACAAAAAATTGCTCGCACTGTATTAGGTAATAAATTTCCATGACGTTTATTTTCCGATTTTTGTTGCATTATTTTATCAAAATTTGTAACAGGCAATTTTGTTAATTGTGTTTTAAATTCCATCTTGATGAGTACTGAGGTAAAAACTATAAATACGAGGCTTTTATTGATTTTTGTGTCAGTTCATGATAGGCCTCTCTCTAGTAAAGAAGATGTATTTATATATTTGTACTTTTTGATTGCCATGAGTTTTTGAATCTCGATTTTGATTTTGTTGAGGAGGAGGAGGGAGTTTGAAGCACTGGATTCCACCATCATCATAGGATCATGAATTGGTTGTATAATTGACTATTACTGTCATAGGTTTTTCTTAGAATGAAGGAAGATTATTAGAAAGAATATTCTCTCTAATTCAGCAAGAAATGCTGGATCTAAGTAAAACCAACTCTCTAATTCAGCAAGAAACGCTGGATCTAATCTAACCTTACAGGTTGAAATTTCACATTGAACTGACCCAAAATACTATAAATACATCGCTTTTATACTTTTTCACTTCAGTCTTAAAAAGAACATTAAATTAATATAAGCATGCGTGTAAAGAAACAAGCAATCAGTAATCGAAAACCTATCAAACGTGGTAAAGGTCTTTTTAATAAAATTATCAATAATTTACCCGTTGAACTACATATTCCTGGTTATCAGTACTGTGGACCTGGAACGAAATTAGGAAAACGATTAGCACGCGGTGATCCTGGAATTAATCCTCTCGATCAAGCTTGTAAAGAACACGACATCGCTTACTCGCAGAATAAACATAACCTAGAAAATAGACACGCAGCTGACAGAGTACTTTCTGAAAAAGCTTGGCGTCGTATACTCGCTAGTGACGCAAATCTTGGTGAAAAAGCAGCAGCTTTTGCAGTTGCAAATGCCATGAAGATAAAAACAAAATTAGGAATGGGACTTAAGCTTAAAAAAAAGAAAACAAAAACAAAATTGAAAATGGGACTTAAGCTGAATAAAAGAAAGAAGAACAGTAAGGCCATATTTCCATTAAGAAATATTGTCTTGGCTGCAAAAAAATCTATTGCACCTAGTAATATTGATACATATTCTGCAATCAAGTCAGCCCTAAAAGGAGCACGAGTAGCCGTGAAAGCTGCTGGTGGAAAACGTAGAGTAAAGCAACCTAGAATTTTACCATTACCGAAAAAAGTTGGTGGTTTTTTTACCATTTCTCGTGCCACTTTTTGCTGGGCTTAGTGCGATAGGAGCTCTATCTGGTGGTGCTGCTGGAATAGCTAAAGCAGTTAATAATGTAAAAGCAGCTAAAAAACAACTCGAAGAGAGTCAACGTCATAACAAAGCAATGGAGTCTCTAGCTCTGGGAAAAGGTCTCTATCTCAAACCATACAAACAAGGATTAGGATTAGAATGTGCTTTAAAAAAAATTAAAGAAAAACAAAATTGTAAAATTACCTCAGCGACCATTAACTAATTACGATTTACTTAAATACGCTTCTATATTAAAAATTCCTCACTTTCGTGATGTTTTTATGCGTGATGAATTACCAGCTATGGGGCCTAATAAATTTGAATCAGCAATAGTTAATCTAGATAGTAAAGATAAAGCTGGTACACATTGGGTGTCTTAAAAAAAGAAAAAAAATGACATTATATATTTTGATAGTTTTGGTAATCTTCAACCACCTAAAGATCTCTTAAAGTATTTCAATGTCAATAATGTAAAGTACAATCATAAAAGATACCAAAATTATGATACTTATACATGCGGCCATTTGTGTCTAAAGTTTCTCTGTAATCAACTTGAGTTAAAAAATGTTTTTATTTTGTATAAATAAGGATTTTGGATACTTTTATCGTTTAGTCTAAATTTAACCATCAATATGAACGAATCATTAACTTTAACATTATCAAACAAGTCATCTATCTTGGAAGCACAGTATTTTCCACCAATTGAATTGTTACCTCATAAGAATTACGCACTCGGTCTCGTTGAATTTCTTACTTTTAATTCAATTCCAAATGTAGACTTTGGATGTAATAAATTCTATGTTGATAAAGAAGAAATAACTATACCGACTGGTAGCTACGAAATTGGTGATATTCAACACTATTTACGAAATATTCTGAAGCCAAAAGGAATTGAACTTTTTATTAAGCCAAATAATAATACTTTACGCAGTGAGATTTTGTGCAATCGAGATATTGATTTTCAAAAAGATAACACAATAGCTCAATTATTAGGATTTGAACCTCAAATTCTTAAAGCTAATAAATTTTATGAATCTAATTTATCAGTGTCTATTATAAAAGTTAACGCATTACGAATCGAATGTAATATTACAACTGGTGCTTATATAAATGGTCAAAAGGTACACACTATTCATGAATTTTTTCCTACTGTCCCACCAGGATATAAAATAGTTGAAGTACCTTCACACGTCATTTACTTACCTATCGCTGTCAAGACTATTGATCAAATTCAATTACGTATTGTTGATCAAGACGGAAATCTTGTGAATTTTCAAAGTGAAATAATTACCATTAGACTGCATGTGAAAGCTTTATAAATGAGTATTGTTTTTAATCGAAAACTAGGTTTCAGTTATAAGAAGAAGCCAGAATGCTTGAAAAGATTCAGTTACAAATATCCGGTCAAGGTGCTAACACCTCAAAATATTCAACTATTGAGAAATCTGGGTCTCAAAGTGATCAAACAGACAAAGCAAAAAAAAAGAAAAGAGAATAAAAAAATTTAAATTCGTTTGCATTTTTGTTGCTGTTTTTCTTTTTAGAAATTTAAATGTTTTTTGTAAGAGAAAATGGAAGAGGATGTGCTAAGTATTGAAAAACCAATTGTCTACGATGAATCTATTGCCCACTATGAAATTCACGCTCATTTACCATATGCTTCAGCAACATTTAATAATAGTGATGAAATTAGAATAGCTGTTCACAATCAGGACCATTGTCTTTTACCATGTAAAAGTTATTTACATATTCAAGGAAAATTGGTAAAAGAGAATGGAGCAGCAGTTACACAAACACGATTTATTCACAATGCCATCTGTCATCTATTTGAAGAAGCTCGCTATGAACTTAATGCTATTGAAATTGATAAAAATAAAAATGTTGGTCTAACGAGTCTCATGAAAAATTATGTTTCAATTTATGGGACTCAAAGTAAATTTTTAGAAAATGCCGGTTGGTTTCCAACATGCAATGCAACCACTTCTCTTATTGATAATAGAGGCAATTTTGACATTTCCATACCGCTTAATCTTTTATTTGGTTTTGCTGAAGATTATCAAAAAATGATAGTCAATGCTAGACATGAATTAATTTTAACAAGAGCAAGAAGTGATGTGAATGCAATTCAACAAACAGCTGAAGAAGAAATTAACATATCAATTATTAAATTGAATGGTTATTACCTAATGTTCGCTTATCAGATTCTCGTAAATTCAAATTGTTAAAATACATTGAGAAAGATCCACTTATTTCAATAAGTTTTCGTACATGGGAATTCTATGAGTATCCTTTACTACCACAAACAGCAAATCATGTATGGACAGTAAAAACATCAACGCAATTGGAAAAACCTCGTTTTATAATTATAGGATTTCAAACTAATCGAAAAAGTCTTAATACAGCAAATGCGAGTTATTTTGATCATTGTAAAATTACAAATACAAAATTATTTTTAAATAATCAAAGTTATCCTTATGGAAATTTAAATTTAGATTTTAATAAACGACACTATTCTCTTCTCTATGATATGTATGTAAATTTTCAAGCGAGCTATTATAATAAGGACCCTCAACCATACTTGTCAAAAAGTGAATTTTTAGAATATGCTCCATTAATTGTAATTGACTGTTCGAAACAAAATGAATCATTAAAATATGGCCCTGTTGACGTTCGTCTTGAATTTGAAACTAAGGAAAATTTACCTGATCAAACAGCAGCTTATTGTCTTATTTTACATGATAGAATTATCGAATATAGACCAATTAGTGGTGGGGTTGAAAAAATCATTTAAAAATAATATAAATTGTTAAAATTTTATTAAAAACTTTTAGTCGTTAGAATAATGGATTACACAGTGGACGTTCAAGGTTTCAAATTACCTACAAATGAATTTATTATAAAAGAATTAGCGATTCTAACGCTTAATAAAAATTCTCAACATCCATATAAATTTATCTTTCAACCTCCTTGTGAATGGAAACATATTACATCGCACTATAAAAGAATAAATAGATGGTTAGAAAATAATGTACATTGTATAATGTGGTCTTCAGGTTATGTTCCATATACATTACATCAGATTATAATGAAAAATATTTTTAAAAATGCAACTAAAATTTACGTTAAGGGTTTAGAAAAGAAAATGT